AAACCCTAAACCTATGTTTTTGGGGGGTGGGGGGCGGGGGGGGGGGGGGGGCGGGCGGAGCTTTAGGATGATATAAGGGCTGAAAGTTTAGGGTCTCCCCATTGATTCAACCCCGGAGGTGCCCCCAAAAATGCTCTAGAATCAGCCATAATCTTCATGGGCATACGTCACGGTATGATAATGCTGTTCTGTGCAAATACAATGATCTGATACTGGGAGAATATGATCATCCAAAATGTAAGTAGAATGTTATACCGCAACAAAAGCTCCTAAGACCCTCAACCCTCAACCTTGGCCCCTAAGCTCAACCCTAAACTCTAAACCCTAAACATAAGCCCCCACCCCCTACCACCCCCTACCCTAAACCCTAAACCCTAAACCCTAAACCCTAAACCCTAAACCCTAAACCCTAAACCCTAAACCCTAAACCCATTTTCTTGGCAGGGCGCTCTTTGAAGGTCACGGCGCGAACCGGGCCGGTGGCCGAGTTGAACTGATGGGGCATGTGGAGAAGTTGGAAGTAGGACCCGCCATCGACCATCTCCATGATGAGGGACCTAGGGTTTAGGGGGTTTTAGGGTTTAGGGTATTGTTAGGGGTGTAGGGTTTAGGGTTTAGGGTTTAGGGTTTAGGGTTTAGGGTTTAGGGTTTAGGGCTTTGGGCGTTTAGAGGTTTAGGGGTTATACAGGGGTTTAGGGGTCTAGGGGTTTAAGGGCTCGGGTGTTAGGGGTTTAGGGCTATAGGTGTTTAGGGTTTGAGTGATTTGGATGAAATGTGGGTGTCCGGGGAGGGGCCTCGTACAACAGACTCTTTGCACGGAGCAGCAGACAAACTCAAGTAGCTACAGAGTACTATTCAAAGCCCCTGAGAGCCTTCAGCACAACAGTTCTTTTAGGGTTTAGGGTGCTTTCGGAGAGTACCTCGTCATAACCGCCACCTACACAATCACCTTCACAAACTAAAGGGCTGGCTTGTTCTTGTTATGGCAGTGATGCTGAAATTTAGGTCTGGCTTTGCTACGGCAGTGATGCTCAAAACGGACCGACATCCACAATGTTACCAAATACGTGTGAGCCGCACGTGTGCCCCAAGGCCTTGATACAGCTTCTCCGATTGAAAGTTCTGTTGCGGGCTCCGGCTGAAGAAACTTCTTTTAGCTCCGTTTGGCTTTCCGCTTAGCAGCCCAAGACCCCAAACCCTAAACCTTAAAATGGCAGCCGGTCCTGGCCCACTCCCCCTTCCACACTTTTGCTTGCCCGAGCGTCAGTGCCGGCGGCTTGCGGTGCACTGCCAAAGCCATGAGGATGTTGGGGTGCCTTCACTTGAAGTGTGGGTTTCGGGTTTAGGTTTAGGGATGCTTAGGGTTTAGGGGTTCGGGGCTCATTGTTTACAAGTATTATAAAGACCCAGAGAGACCCATAGCCCCTTGATGGCGGAATATTTCCGCCAACCCCAAGTGGGTTTAAGACCTACGCCTTAACTGGAGGGTGGCCTCGGGCCTCGGGCTTAGGGTTTAGGGTTTAGGGTGTAGGGTGTAGGGTGTAGGGTTTAGGGTTTAGGGTTTAGGGGTACTTGGGGGCTCATGGTACTCAACAAGCCTCGAAGTCGAGATCCAAAGAGTAACCGAGGAATAAGAAGGGCACCCTTTATGGTGGTTCAAGGGCTTGCAAAAAAAGGAACCAAAACCTTAACGAAGGGGATAAGGGCCTACTCTGGGTCCTGGGACTTGTTTGTAGCCAGAGCTTCGGCGCAACTTGTTAAAACATATTCCAGACTGTGACTCAGCAATCTCCAAAAAGCCCTAAACTTTGGGATTTTCACCCTTTTGCTAACCCCCTAATAGTGATTATAGTAGGGGGTACCAGAATCCCGATGAAGGAGCTGTTAGTAAACCCTCAACCCTAAACCCTAAACCCTAAACCCTAAGCTATAAGGCCAACAAGGACCCTTCAATCCAGTCTTGCAACCCTTGGCCTCAGAATACTTCAAGACAAACTTAGCACCCGGCTTACTTGGAGGTTCCTGCTACTTATTAGTTCTACTCTTGGCTGCACTTAGGAGCGTAGTTTAAGAAACTCAATAAACCCATAAAGGCTAAAGATCTAAAGTTAAAGTAAAGCACCACCAAGTACTTATAACCCAATCATAACCAACAACCCCAACAAACCAGGGCCATGCACTGAGAAGTTTGGAGAATTGGGGGGTGATAAGTTCCCATGAGCCTCCAAACAGAATAACAAGCTTGCAACTTCTTGTGTGAAATCGGCTTGGGCCGGGAACCGATCCCGATTTCAAAAAAAAATGAACAAGGGCACTAATGGGCATCCTGGTTGAAGATCCCCCTAAACTCTAAACCCTAAACCCTAAACCCTGAACCCTAAACCCTGAAATGGCCTCAAAAGTTCGAGCTTCTGCACTTCGTTGTCGAACTCTGCCAAGAGCTCCTGCGAGATGTTCGGATCGAAGAGCTTCTTGACCGCCACCTGGGGGGGTTTTGGGTTAGGGTTTAGGGTTTAGGGTTTAGGGTTTAGGGTTTAGGGTTCAGCATCTCAAGTCCGAGCATTCACTAGTCGAGCAGCTTGTCAAGGGCTGGAATAAAACCCCACCCACCCAAGAAACCCATAACATTGAGAAAATACAAAGTCCACTCAATACATTCCCAGTAGGCTTAAAGCTCAAGGTCCAATTGGCCGAAAAACCAAAATCTAATTCTCAAACCGGGGAGGGTGGGGTGGGGGGTGCATTTGGGGTGGTTTTGGAGGCAAACTTTCCCTAGGGCCCCCCCCTGGGGGAAAACAACCGTTTGGTCACGAAGGGGGTCAGGGTTTAGGGCCCCCACGGGGGGAAAAAAACCATTTGGTCACGAAGGGGGTCAGGGTTTAGGGCCTTCCCGGGGGGAAAAAAACCATTTGGTCACGAAGGGGGTCAGGGTTTAGGGCCCCCCCGGGTGGAAAAAAACAATTTGGTCACGAAGGGGGTCAGGGTTTAGGGCCCCCCCGGGTGGAAAAAAACCATTTGGTCACGAAGGGGGTCAGGGTTTAGGGCCCCCCCCGGGTGGAAAAAAACCATTTGGTCACGAAGGGGGTCAGGGTTTAGGGCCCCCCCGGGTGGAAAAAAACAATTTGGTCACGAAGGGGGTCAGGGTTTAGGGCCCCCCCGGGTGGAAAAAAACCATTTGGTCACGAAGGGGGTCAGGGTTTAGGGCCCCCCCGGGTGGAAAAAAACCATTTGGTCACGAAGGGGGTCAGGGTTTAGGGCCCCCCCGGGTGGAAAAAAACCATTTGGTCACGAAGGGGGTCAGGGTTTAGGGCCCAAAGGCTCGGTTTTGATCAAAAATCCAGAAAACGAGAGCCCACCCAGAAGCGTCGATTTCAGTACTAAAAAATCGCATTTTGAACTGGGACCCGGGCCGATCCTGGGGTCCCCCTCATTTGGGGTGTTTTTGGAGGCACGGCCCAGGACAAAAAACAATTTGGTCACGAAGGAGGTCAGGGTTTAGGGCCCAGAAAAAAAAACAACATGGTCACGAAGGTCATTAGGGTTTAAATATACATAGTAAGAGAGGGTTTAGGGTTTAGGGTTTAGGGTTTAGGGTTTAGGGTTTAGGGTTTAGGGTTTTGGAGGGGTTAGGGTTCAGGGTTCAGGGTTCAGGGTTGGTCTGTTTCAGGGTCGAGGGTTGCGGGCTTGGGGTTGAACCATTTTTGCGGGGGGGGGAGGGTGTGAAGTGGAACCCTACTCATGTAAACTGCCCCCGCCTAAATCGGCCTTGGAAGCCCTCTGAAAACCAGGAGTTCAGGCGGTCTAGGGCTTCGGGTTCCTACCTTTGGTCCACTGAAAGCCAGTAAGGGCGAATATGACATGCTTCAAGGGCCTACATGGTCGAAACTCCTGAGGCCCCCTCGAACTCGAGGCTTTAAGCATGTGTGGGAGCAGGGTGGTGGGGTTCCGAGACCTGAAGGCTCCAAGGTAGTTCCTGTTTGGGCTAGTTATAGCGGATTCTAGCATACTACGCAAAGCAGGTACTACATAGGAGCCTTTGGGTAAGCCCTAAACCCTACATCCTAAGATCCAAAAAAAACACTCTAAGACCCTAAACCCTAAACCCTGAAACCACTCTAAGGCCCTTACCCTCAACCCTACATCCTAAGGCCCTAAACCCTAAACCCTAAACCCTAAACCCTAAACCCTACGTCCTAAGGTCCTAAAGCTTTCTGAGAGCTCAGAATCAGGGCGCCTTCGTGCCGTGCCAGGTCCCCTTGTGAACCACGCTGAAGCCTGAGTCTCTTCTTGCACTTCGCGGTTGCTAGGGTTTAGGGTTTAGGGTTTAGGGTTTAAGGTTTAGGGTTTAGGGTTTAGGGTTTAGGGTTTAGGGTTTAGGGTTTAGGGTTTAGGGTCAACCCAGTGCGCAAACACCAGGGAACCCCCGAAACCCCTCAAGCCACAAACCGCAAGATGCAGAAAGGCTTGGGAGCAATACCCTAAACCCTAAACCCTCGAAAGTTGCTTGCGTGGAGAAGGGAACCTCGAACCCACCAAGGGCAAAAGGGTGCCGTTGGGATACGGTTCGAGTAGTATGTGGTTTTCAATGATCCCAATTTATGATTCATTTGGTCTCCAAGGCATGCCTTATGCGTCGGTTTGCTTGAGTTTGCGCCGGTATGTTCTCGGCCTGATCCTGACAGCGGATTACCGTTTTAGTTGGAAACTTCGTTGATTCTTGCTGGGGCCTCGGTGCTTGGAGTTTCTGTAAATGCTGCTTGTGGATACAGGCGCCATCTGGCGATGATTCCCAGCCTCTCATACAGCTATGGGACTTTCCGAAATTCGAGGCACCTGATTGGGGTCCATATTATCAAGGAATCCTACTCTCTTTTCTGTTTTTTTTTTTTTTTTTTTTGGGGGGGGGGGGGGGGGGGCTCTATATTAAGAGGGTCCCCTATGTTCGTAAACCCCCATATGGGTGCCGGTGTGACGAGCTGCCAGTCACAGAAAGGCTGGGTAGCTAACCTCGACTCGCGGAACCCTAAACCCCAAACCCTAAACCCTAAACTTGCTTCCCAAGTACCTACGGGGTAAAAAGTTCTAACATTAAAAATCAGACTACCTTACTACCGGTCTAAAACGTTGAAAAGTTGGGTTTGGAACCACTAAGTAAAATCCCAAACCCTTGGTTTCGAACCACCAAGTAAACTCCCAAACCGGAAAGCCCTCAGCCCGAAAGCCTCAAACCGCGGAGCCGACGTCAGGTGCCAGGATGGCACTTATAAAACCCTCTCAAGAATATTCCTGGATATGATCCTCTTAAACCCAAAGAGGGAACATGAACAAATGTCCCAAGGGCCTACCTTGTAGCCCCAAACCCTAAACCCTAAAGCCTGAAGCCTAAACCCTGAACCCTAAACCCCAGAAGAACTGAGTTCGTCAGGTTGGCCTTCAAACGACTCTGAAAACAACTCCTAAAATTTTAGGATGTCTGTGAAGTAAACTCAATACAGGGAATATCTAAAGTCCGACCTAGCTAGCTATCCTAAACCCTAATTCGGTTCCTAAACCCCTGAACTCTTCTCCTAAACCCTAAACCCTAAACCCCTTATTAATCCCCTAGACCCCCTAAGACCCCTAAACTGGCCCCTAGACTCAAAACCTGTGGTCAAGTCACCACCTTGGTTCAGAATCTCGCCAAGCTGGACCTCGACCATCTCCTGGGAATCTGACATCTAACGGTATACATGGAGGTTGGGGTAGTTGCTAGAAGCGTCTTAACCCTAAATCCTAAACCCTAAATCCTAAACCCTAAATCCTAAACCCTAAACCCTAAACCCTGAACCCTAAACCCTAAACCCTAAACCCTGGCCTCCCCAAGCTTGGGCTTCAGGTTGAAGCGTTTCGGGTGGAGGGTTCTCTTGGTTGTATGGGTTGCGGGTTAATGTTTGTGTAGGTTGCCTAGAAGATGCCTAGAGGGTTTAGGGTTTAGGGTTAGGGTTTAGGTTTTAGGGTTTAGGGTCTAGGGTTTAGGGTTTAGGGTTTGGTGTTTAGGGCTTAAGGTTTAGGGTTGTCTCGTGGTAATCTGCAGTTAAGGGAGGGCTCGCGGCAGTACGGCTTTGCAAGGTTCAATGGCAGAGAAGGGCTCCCGAAGGGATCCCGGGGCTTAAGCCCTTACGCGGCAAACCTAGGGTTTCGGGTTTTGGGTTTAGGGATTCTTGTTTCGGGTTGTGGGTTTAGGGTGCATTCGTCAAGACTTAGGGACTTTGGCTTGAGGGTTCCTTGGAACGAAGTGGGAATGGCTCCACTTGAAGGCTCTAGAGGCAGGGATCTTGCAGGGACGTTTAGGGTGCCCCGACTAAGGGAACAGTACGTAAGGTTCCCTGATCGTATTTCGGAAGAGCTATAGGCATCCTTTGGGATGTTCCCCCTTAATACTAACAGTCCCTAGTCGGGAATGTTAGTAGGGGGCACAAGAATCCCTAGGACTCTTCGTACAAGGGGGAACATCCAAAGGGATCCTTCTTATAACCGGACTGAGAGCTACAGCATGGAAGTGCAGGTGGTTCGGGCTTCAGCGTCTATGGCGGACACAGAGGAGCCTTAAGTACCTCCATACGGAATCTGTTGTTGCATCTTGTGCAAGAGTATATGTTTCTTAAATAAATAAAGATATATATATATATATATGTGTACACACCTATAACGTATATATTTACATCTGTATATATATATACACGCTATATATATATATATATACATACACGCTATAGTATCTTTAAGAGTTCCAAGGCCCTAAACCCTAATTAAACCCTAAACCCTAGATACCATACATACATATGACCGACAAAGAACTCTTAAAGATGCTATACACATATATGTATATATATATATGTATATACCCTAAACCCTAAACCCTAAACCCTAAACCCTAAACCCTAAACCCCAAACCGCAAGCCCGCAACTTTCTGTGTCGAAGGGTTTCGCGTCGAGGCGTTGAGGCTTGTCGAGCCTTTCGGGTGAATGTCAAGTCTCCTCCCTTTCCCCCCTAGGTTTAGGGTTTAAGGCTAGGGTTTAGGGTTTAGGGTTTAGGGTTTAGGGTTTAGGGTTTAGGGTTTAGGGTTTAGGGTTTAGGGTTTAGGGTTTAGGGTTTAGGGTTTAGGGTTTAGGGTTTAGGGTTTAGGGTTTAGGGCTTAGGGCTTAGGGCTTAGGGCTTAGGGCTTCGGGCTGGGTTTAGGGTTTAGTTTAGGGGTGCAGGGTTTGAGGCCCCTCCTTTAGGAGATGTAACAAAGACACACTGCCCCAGAAATCCTTGAAGACTTCAAGGGTACAGTGGTTACCCTTAAGCTCAACAAGGTAACAAGCCGAAACCCCAAACCCTAAACCCTAAACCCGAAACCCGAAACCCTAAACCCCAAACCGTAAACCCTAAACCAAGGTGCGAAGTGCGGCAGCGAGCCGACGCCGCCGGCGCTGCCCGCCTCGGACAGACGGTCCGTGAGGCGCTGCCTTGGGACTTCGGGAGTTTGGGGAGTTTAGGGTTTAGGGTTCAGGGATAGGTTTTAGGGTTTAGGGTTTAGGGTTTATAGGGTATAGGGTGTAGGGTTTAGGGTTTCGGGCTTAGGGGCCAAACCTAGGAGCCCTGTGCGTGTGGGGGGGAGGGGGGGGGGGGGCTTGGTGCTGGGAGTCTGGGTATGAGTAATCCCTTCCCCCTAACATCAAACCCCCCTACACTGTGACATGACTATAACGGGGGGGCATTTACTTTTTAGTGGGCACGGGGGGCGTTGTATTCTTAACCTTAAACACCTTAAACCTAAACCCCATCAAGCGGGGGCGGGGGGGGAGGGGAGGGTCATTCTAGGGGGAAGGGAGTATTATGGGGGTGTTGTTCAAGGCCGTAGGCCGAAAGCTTTGGGAGTTGTTTGGGGCGTTGGGGGGGGGTTGGGTTGAAGGTTTAGGGGTTTAGTTTAAAGACTTAGGGATCAGGGTTTAGGGTTATGGGGTTCTTAAGGGAGGGGGGGTTCTCAAGGGGGGTATGTAACCCAAGGTTCCCTGATACTCCCTACTACTCCCTAAGGACTAAGTCAAGTTTTTATGCAGGACGTGTTAAACGCCTGACGGAGGAAGCTTTTGGTAGCACGCATAATGACGAGTCAGGTATGAAAATGGACATAGAATTATCATGAAAAGGGGTTCTGGAAGGGTGGGGTGGTACCAAACACATCGCGTGTAAAAGGGGCCTTGTGAATTGCCGGCCCTGGCCAATCAAGAAGCCCTAAACCCTAAACTCCAAACCCCAAACCCTGAAAGCTCTAAGCCCTAAGCCCTAAGCCCTAAGCCCTAAGCCCTAAGCCCTAAGCCCTAAGCCCTAAGCCCTAAGCCCTAAACCCTGAAAGCTCTAAGCCCTAAGCCCTAAGCCCCAAACCCTAAACCCTAAACCCTAAACCCTAAACCCCACAGCCGAGCAGCACTTGCTGCTCCAAGCGCTTGCACCTCCGCTGCTCTTCCTTCAGCTGGTTCTTGAGGCCGGCGTCCTCGCACTGCAGAGGCCGGTTTTAGGGCTGTTTAGGGTTTAGGGTTTAGGGTTTAGGGTTTAGGGTTTAGGGTTTAGGGTTTAGGGTTTAGGGTTTAGGGTTGGCTTAGGGTTGCTTGGGTTTTGGGGGGGGGGGGGGGGGGGGGAATTCGGGATTTAGGGTTTAGGGTTTAGAAGATCTAGGATTTAGGGTTTAGGGATTGAGGGTTTCAAACTGCTTTGGTTTCAGGTCTCCATGTATCATGTATCTTTTCTGCTTTCGGTGCTAGGAGGAGAGCACCGGCATCACGGTCAACAACCGCAGGGTCCGAACAGGCGAGGAAGCCCAACATGTTTAGGGTGTAGGGTTTGAGATTAACTCTGTATGCCTAAAACAACCTTATAAGCCCTGAACTCGAAGCCCCGGAACCCTAAACCCTAAACCCCCAACCCGAAAACCGTAAACCCGAAACCCCTGAACCCTAAACCCTAAACCCCCAAAACACTGAGTCCCTTCAAATGCTGGGCAAACATCGAGCTCCTTGCCTCGTCGTCCTCAATACCACCCAAGCCCCGCCGCGACGGGAGCGTTGTGGCCTCGTCCACTTGGGAGCATATAGTTCGGGGTTTAGGGTTTAGGGTTTCGGGTTTAGGGTTTAGGGCTTGCGAAAATAGGGGACCCCATAATCAGGTACCCCCAATTTCGGAAGCCGCCGGTGCTGGGGTTCAGGAATTAGGCTTAGGGCACAGCTGCCCAAGGGTTCGGGTTTGCACTTTGGAGGTTCAGGGGTACTTGAAAAACCCCAATTCTGAGTCTACTTAGAACCTACTTAAGGGACCTAGGGGGTTTATAAGTGCAGTTACAGTTATGATTGGGGTGATAAGTACCCATGAACCTCCAAGTAGGGTTGGGAGCGGGTATTGCTCGGGTGGTTTGCGGATTAGGATGGCACTTCCGAGGCCTGTTGCAATCAGGACACGTCGACTACGACAGGTCGGGAAACCTTAGGGACCAAATGAAGCCTCATAACCAAGGCTGAAAAAGGGTGCCCCTTTTTTGCTTAAAGGGGTTTAGAAGGGAACCTAAACCCCCCAAAAAAGGGAATAAGGAGACTACTGGGCATCCTAGAAACGGTATAGGGTAGATATGCCCGACTCAAGGGTTCATGTAGGTCCCCAGGAAAGAGGGGGATGGTGACTTGGTGGCGACGACGCCGCAGGAGGTGTAAGGACGTGGCAGAATTCTTCTGGGGCTTGCAGAGTTTTTGGACTCTAGATTTGGACTGCGCGGCTGTGTGCTTCACCTTGTTTAGTGATCCTACAGAAAGGAAGAAAGTGGGATTGCAGGGCGTCCTAGCTAGCTGCTAGATTGCCCTTCCTCAGCAACCTCAGAAAAAAGTGCCTTGTGTTCTCGAATGGGGCTTATAAGAGAACCCTAAACCCAAAACCTTAAACCCTGAACTTAGTTGCTGAGTTCATAAGCCCAGAAAAAGTGTACACTATAGTATCCCAAAAAAGTGTACAGTGTGCCCACTCAGCTACTAAGTGAAAAAGGGGAAAAGGGTACAACTGCGCGTCCCGGCTTCCGGGCCCTACACCCGAAGCCCTGAACCCTATACTCAAACACTCCCAGCAACCCTGAGAGCCAGGGTTTAGGGTTTAGGGTTTAGGGTTTAGGGTTTAGGGTTCCGGCTGAAAACTCAGGCTTTTGGCTTTGTAGGTAGCGTTTCGATTTTGGTCTTAGGGCCTTCGGGCCTTCGGGCAATAGAGCCTCAAGGCCTTAACTTAGGGCCTTAAGGGCCTCAAGAGCCTTGCAGCCTTCGTGCCCTAAGGGCCCTAAGGCCTTAAGGCCTTAGGGTTCTCAATCCCCTAAACCCGAAACCCTAAACCCTAAATCCTAAACCCTAAACCCTCTTTTGCCCCCAAGAGGCCAGGGAGTTGCGACCAGAATCCGCCAGCCAGGACGGCTTCGAGGAGCCTCCCCCACCTAACGATGAAGCGGGCTCAGGGAGTCGGGTTTAGGGTTTAGGGTCTAGGGTCTAGGGTTTAGGGTTTAGGGTTTAGGGTTTAAGGTTTAGGGTTTGGGGTTTAGGGTTTAGGGCTTCAGGTTTAGGGTTTAGGGGGTTGAGAAACCTGGGCTTATCAGCACAGTTATACTTAGGGTTTCAATATATAAGTGCCCTGAACCTCCAAGTGATCCCTTGAAGATATACTCTAGGGACCCATCATTCCTTACTTTCCACGAAGAGCCGGTAGCTGGTAGCTAGACCCAAGAGTAGCCTAGGAATAAACAGGGTACCCGTTTCGGTTTCAAAGGGCTGATTAGGGAATCTAAAACCTAAAGAGAATAAGGGCCTACTCTGGGTCCTAGCCCTAAACCCTAAATCCTAAACCCTAAACCCCAAACCCTAAACCCTAAACCCTAAAACCCTAAAACCCTAAACCCTGAGCCCACTCTGAACCGGTAAGTTTGCAAGCGGCCCAAAGACCCAGAAGGCCTGAATGTTTTGGGTTTAGGGTTGGGGGCTAAGGGGTCTTGGAGTTCCCCCTAAACCCTAAACCCTAAACCCTAAACCCTAAACCCTAAACCCTAAGCCCTAAACCCTAAACCCTAAACCCTAAACCCTCAGCGAGGAGGGTTGCGCACCCGCGATAAAATACCATCATCCACTCTGGCCTCCCCGGAGCATGTCAAAACAAAAAGGACATAGGCCAATGTAGCGAAAACTGTGCCTGGGTCTAGGCCCTGGTCGTTTGGGGGGTTTCGGGTTTAGGGCTTCGGGTTTAACTCTAGGGTTGCGGGGCGGGGGTGGGGGGGGTGGGTGGGGGCGGTGGGGTTTGAGTTGTAGAGCCAGGCTGCTGCCCCTTACATTAGCTACTTGTACCGCGCAAAAACTCCCCCAAAAAATGGAATCACGGTTCAGGGCTGCTACCCTAGGCAAGGGAGCATCCCGAGTTTAGTGTCGGAAGGGTGCGCTTTCATTTGCAAACCCTAAGCCCTAAGCCCTAAGCCCTAAGCCCTAAGCCCTAAGCCCTAAGCCCTAAACCCTAAGCCCTAAGCCCTAAGCCCTAAACCCTAAACCCTAAACTTAATAAACGCTCGTGGGCCTGTGGTCTTGGCCAAGGTCGGCGATGGCGAGGACGCCTTCTCCTCTCTCCGGGTGAGTTGTGTTTGCGAGTGAAGCTTAGGGCTTAGCGGGTTTAGGGCTTAGAGGGTTTAGGGCTTAGGGGGTTTAGGGGGTTTAGAGGGGTTAGGGTTTAGGGGGTTTAGGGGGTTTTAGAGGGTTGAGAGGGTTTAGAGGGTTAAGAGGGTTTAGACCGTTAAGAGGGTTTAGAGCGTTTCGGGTTTAGGGTTTAGGGCTTCTTTAGGGTTTAAGGTTGGGGGCTCAGAGTTGCAGCGTAGACATGCAAAAAGTATCCATGATGCGCCTTTTGTTGAGGTTCCTATGTAAAAGATACTCGAAGCAGGGAGCACCGAGAAGACCGTGGCAATGACAACGGGGAACCCAAGACCCTAAACCCTAAACCCCAAACCCCAAAACCCTAAACCCTAAACCCGAAACCCCAAACCCTAAACCCTAAACCCTAAACCCCAAACCCTAAACCCTAAACCCCAACAAACAAAAAACACCCCAACAAACACCAAGAAAACTGATCTGAAATCAGGCCTTCGCGGAGCTCTACAGCTTGAACTCCCTCAAGCTCTGAAGGAATTACATAGGGGGTTTAGGGGGTTTAGGGCTTCATTTTGGTGTTTACTATTCCCGGGCTTAGCGTCTTAAGGGATTATAGGGGCTTAGGGGTTTTGTGTTTTTTTGTGTGCTTACTATCCCTGAGTTTAGTGGTTTTTCGGGTTAAGGTGGAACCCTCGAACCCTAAACCCTCGAACCCTAAACGGCCCTAAAGCCGGAACCCTAAACCTTAAACCCTAAACCCTAAACCCTAAACCCTCGAACCCTAAACCCTAAACCCTAAACCCTAAACCCTACACCCTAAACCCTAAACGGCCCTAAACCCTGAACCCTGAACCCTGAACCCTGAACCCTAAACCCTAACAAACCCTGAGCCCTGAACCCTAACCCTGAACCCTGAACCCCCAAGTTCACAAGCAGGAGCACATGGGCTCCTCCTCCAGCTCCGCAATGCGAGCTTGCAGTCGCTCCACCTCTCGCTGGATCATGAGGGCATGCGAGTTTCGGAGGTTTAGGAGCTTTAGGGGGTTTAGGAGCTTTAGGGGGTTTAGGAGGTTTAGGAGGCTTAGGGTTGAGGGTTTAGGATGTTCTGGGGGGGGTTTAGGGAGTTTAAATTAGGGGTTGAAGCAGGGCTTGAGGGTCTTTACGGTGTTCAGTTTTGAGGCACGGACACACTAAAACCATCCAAAGCTCCTGCTGGCGGGTTTAGGGTTTAGGGCTTTGGGTTTAGGGTCTAGGGCTCATGGGGTCATTCAGCTTGTGTGAGAGCTGCAACCTGGAACCCCCCCCCCCCCCCCCCGCAACCGGCCTCCTGCACCAGCGTCCGAACCCGCACCGCCTGCGAGGTATCCTGGGCAAGCTTGCAAGCTTGGGGTCTGAGGAATGCCTGGGACCTGGCCCGAAACCCTAAACCCTGAACCCTAAACCCTATAAGGAACAAGAGGTGAAGGGTAAGGGAGAGGGGGGGGGGGGGGGGCCCAGATTTTTTTGGCTAAGGCTGAACAAGGGCTGGTCTGGGCTTGTTCGGGCATTCTTTAAAGGCATGAGCCATTCGGGCTTTAGAGGTTGTAGGGTTTAGGGAGTTTAGGGTTGTAGGTCTACTAGACCCGAGAGTAATCTAGGAAAAAGGGGTGCCCTTTTGGGTGGTAAAGGGCTTGTAAGGGAGCCTAAACCCTAAACAAAGGGGATAAGTGCCTACTCTGGGTCCTAGTGGAGAGCTTCAGGTTTGAGGCCTAGGCATTGTTGTTTTTGCATCAGGAGGTTGCGTTGTGACATTGTTGTGCATCTTCTTGTTGAAGCTTGCTTCCGCTAAGGTTGCAAGGGCCAAACCCTAGGCCCTAAACCCTCGTCCGTGCTCTTTCTTACTGCTGTCTCAGAAATGACTGAAGTGATGATGAACACTCCAGTGCCTACGAATCACTTCTTGACGACATGGCAGCTGCGCTAGACAAGTACACAAAGCTATGTGAGGTGTGTGTGTATATATATATATATTTATATTTATATTTATATTTATATGTACATACATATCTTCCTGAATAGGCTTTAGTTTGGGGTTTGTAGGGTACGGGCTTCTTGGGTTGGCCTTTGATCAGGGTAGCCACAACGGACCAAAAGCTCGAGAAGAGGCAAAGATGAAGTGGAGTGTTTGTGACTCCCAACATCCGCAAAAGAACATCCCGCCTATGCAGGATGTTTTAGGGTTTTGGGTCTAGGGTGTGGTAACCGACAGAACGCCAAGAAGACGGTGGGAATCTTGTGCGAAGACTTGGTGCTTCCTCTCACACGCAAGAGTGTCCAGAATGTGCTTCTGCTCACGGCACTGTCTTGGTAAATGAAGACTGCAATGGTGTTTTGGGCGAAGACTCTCCCCGCCATAAGCTTGTTGGAACGCCGCATGGTGCTCCAGCTGGGGAGGCTCCAGCTGCAGCAGGAAGGACTCATCCCGGCTATATCGATAGGCCTCGATGAGCTAGCATCGCTTGCAGAGAGCTGCAAATGAAGCGAGTTGGAGTTCCAGCGCTTCGTGTGCCGGGTTCGGCCACTGCAGTGCCCAGAAATGCAGCAAGGGCATGATTGCTGCTTGCTGCGAAGCTGAAGCCTTCCATGTCGTGTCGTTCCCCAAGACTCTTAGGGTTCGGGGTTTAGGGTTTAGGGTTTAGGGCTTAGGGTTTAGGGTTTAGGGTTCGGGGTTTAGGGTTTAGGGTTTAGGGTTTGGGGTTGAGGGTTTAGGGCTGCAGTCCGAGCTTCGGTGCAAGAGCTGACCCCTCCACTTCTTACATCCGGCTTTTGTTTTTAGGGTTTAGGGTTTAGGGTTTAGGGTTTAGGGTTTAGGGTTTAGGGTTTAGGGTTGAAGGATTGTCGTTGGCCCTTGGGGGGGCCCCTAGATCGTAGTTTGGCTTTGGGTGCAGGGTTCACGCTGGTGCAACGCCAACAAACGTATCTAGCTGCACCTTTATTGCGGTTAGGCTACTACTTTTTGGGGTTTCGGGTTCGGGGTTTAAGGCCACCCAAACCCTAAAGCCTAAAGCCTAAAGCCTAAAGCCTAAACCCTAAACCCCTAAGACCCTAAAACCTAAACCCTAAACCCTAAGACCCAAATGGATTAAGCACCCCGTCCTCCATGGCCGGCACCGGCGGGGCAAGTATTTCTCGGCCCACGTAGCCGTCGTCCACAGGGGTGACCTCCCAATTATCAGTTTAGAGTTTAGGGTTTAGGGTTTAGGGTTTAGGGACACCCTAAACCCTAAACCCCAAACCCACAACTATTTGCCGGGGTTCGGCAAGCACATGTTCCCAACAATTTCTGGGTTTCAAGGTTGGGGTTGAGGGTTCTGGGTTTAGGGTTTAGGGTTTAGGGTGGCTTTCTCAGTGTCCTGGGATGCGTTGCAGTGACATCTGGCGCCAGGCTTTTGTTGGGCATGGTTTTTTTGACTTTTTGTGGGTATGTTCTTGGGTTTACGGTTTAGGGTTTAGGGTTTAGGGTTTAGGGTGTAGGGTTTAGGGTTTAGAGTTTGGGGTTTAGGGTTTTAGGGTTTTAGGGTTTAGGGTTTTAGGGCTTTAGGGTTTTAGGGTTTTAGGGGTTTAGGGTTTTAGGGTGTTAGGGTTTTAGGGTTTTAGGGTTTTAGGGTGTTAGGCTTTTAGGGTTTTAGGGTTTGGGGGGTTTGAGGGTTTCAGGGTTTTAGGGTTTTAGGGTGTTAGGATTTTAGGGTTTGGGGTTTAGGGTTTAAAAAGCCAAAAACAATACCCAGAAAAAATTACCCAAAAAGAACTCCCACCCGTGCCATTCTGGGCACAAAGAGCAAGTAGCTGGGCTTTCGGTGAAGTACTTCTCTTGCGATGTTCCGTCTTATACTAACCGTCCTTGGATTAATTATGGTACCCCTATTGAAATCCCTATTAATTGTTGGAGAGGAACTAGAGGTTTTCCTAATCAAGTATGGAGGACCCACATGACATGTAGAAACCAGAGGTTTTCCCAATAAAACATAGAAACAAATGTTGTGCTGTTAACTCTGAGAAAAATGACGGTTCCCCCAACAAAACATAGAGAAATGGGTTTTCCTTTCCGAATGTTGGGAAAATCGAGGTCCGGGGGGGGGGGGCTTCCTGTAATAAGGATTATCGCATTTATTTTGTTTTTTTTTTTTGGGGGGGGGGGGGGGGGCGGGGCATCTTAGTGGTAACCCTAAACCGAAAACCCTAAACCCTAAACCCTAAACCCCAAACCCCAAACCCCAAACCCAACAGAAGCAGTGCCGGGAACCTCCGAGCTCGCCGGCGGGGGCGGCGGGGGCGGCGCAACCGCCTCCGGGCGCAGAAGGCCTCGGCGCAGGGATTTTCGGGGGCATCGGCTGCTCGGGCTTCATAGGGTTTAGGGTTTAGGGTTTAGAGTTTAGGGTTTCGGGTTTAGGGTTTGGGGTTTAGGGCTTATAGGGTTTAGGGTTTAGGGACAGAGTGGGGTTCAGGGAGTTTCGGGTTTAGAGTAGAGGGAACTGGGTGGGCAGGGAGAGGGACTAAGAAAATCCTACTGACATAAACCTCAGAAGGGACTGAAGGCACGCAGGGGTATGGGATGTCGCGGATCTACAGGATTGCACGATGACAGGATTGAAGGCCTGGGGGTTTTGCTTGAGCAGGCTGGGTCCACCTCTCGTCACGCCACAGTAGGGTTGCAGGGTCAGAGATGTTTGGTTTAGGGTCGGCGTGCCATGAGTGTGGGGGGATCAAGAGCAGGCGATCCAGATGATCTGGGTGCTCAGGGACGTATTCGCCGTGGCGTGGCAAGAAGTGTGACGAAGCATTAACGGGAAGCGGACGGTGTGCGCCTGCGGCACATTGCGGCGTGTCCCCGCAAAACATAACGCTGCAAGCATGCAAGTATACGTCTACGATATACAGTATATCTCTTTTTTTGTTTGGGGGGGGGGGGGGGTGCAATCCTGCGGGAAACTGTTCCTTTCTAGGGTAGGTGCTAGGGAGCAAGCCCTAGGCTCTGCACCCTAAAAGCCTAAGCCCCACACATACCCAAGTGAGCATGTCGTGCATGAGGTAGGGCTTTCTTGGTGGCATATAACATTATACACCCAGTCTTTGTCAGGAACCCATATAAAAGTATGCACTCACCAAGAACTTCAACAAAGACCCTACTTCACATGTTGCCCCGCCGAGTGGCTGCAAATGACCTGCACCGGCGTCTGACCTGGCTTTCGGCTGGGTCGCGCCATCTGCCTGCCAGGGAGTGGGGAAGGGGGCGAGGGACGGGTTGCGGGGGGAAGGGGGGGGAAGGGGGGGAAAGGATTATGTGTTTGTTTTCAGCGTGGAGATGATATTAGAAGTGAGTTCTCGTTTGAATATGAAAACTAACCATGGATTTCCTAATGAATAATTAAGCCTTAGGGACGTACCTTCTAATTATCTTGTTAAAACCAGCGGCTCTTGGCACAACAATAAGAAGAGTAAAAAACAAACTCACTTCCATCGCGTGATAAAAGATGTCTTTCATTGTGATCACGAAATTAGAGTACAAAGCATTATTATCTTCACGAGTCTTAATAGTGAATTTGCGACCTTCATACCTTCATATCTTCCTCCTTCATTTTCCTAATCCTTGTGTTCACTTCGCTCACACGCTTGTTGCCGGTGTGGGGTTTGCTGGCTTAACAGGGTACGAAACAAAACGGAAACCACGAGCACATTCGTGATGCAAACTATTGTACTCATCATAACCGGCTGGAAGTAGGTTAATTGCAATTCTTACATTATAGCCCGTTCTGTCCCTAATCATGGTACAACCAGGTAGGGGTAATTGGAATATTTCATGCTATAGTATAGAGCCCCCTTCAGGCTGAAGAGAGGAGGGCTTAGGGTTACAACCCTAAACGTGCCCCAGCCCTCAGACACCCCAAGCCCTACATCCTAGACCCTAAACCCTAAACCCTAAACCCCAAACCCTAAACCCTGTTCGCGTGCGGAGTTGCCCCTGCCGAACCGTGCATGTGCGTCGCCCGATTCACAAACAACAGCCTAAAGCCTAAACACCCTCAAGCCTTCCAACCCTCCCTAAACCCAAAGATATCGCGTAGCCCTAAACCCTAAACCCTAAACCCTAAAACCTAAAACCCTAAACCCTAAACCCTAAACCCTAAACCCCACCCTAAACCCTGTGCCCGCCTCAACTGTGCTGGCGCCATCCCCTCGACGGCTGGGTTTCCTTGGCGGGCTTTCAAAGGAACTGTGACCCCGAACCCGAAACCCTAAACCCTAAACCCTAAACCCTAAGTCCTTGACCCATGGACCCCAAAATACTAACAATAGCACTGAAAAGTGCCTCATATCGGGAAGTCCTAGGGTTCGGTGTTTAGGGTTTAGGGTTACGCCCAACAACTCGTTGCCCCAAGATTCCTGCTGCAGGCTCTCGCTCCGCTCGCGCTCGCGTGGGATACATCCGAAGCCCGCAGGCAGAAAAAGGAACAGTTGGGGTTTGTGGTTTCGGGTTGAGGTCTTCACTGGAGAGGCCAAGCTAAAATTTCGAGAGAGAGAGAGAGAAAGAAAGAAAGAACGACAGAAAGAAAGAAAGAAAGACATAAAGAAATAAAGAACGAAAGAACGAAAGAAATAAATAAAGAAGTAAAGAAAGAAAGAAAGAAATCAAAGAGACAAAGAGAGAAAAAGAGAAAGAGATAGAGATTGATAGAAAGATATGAAGAGTTTACTGGATTGGCGATGAGCGGCTTCGGGTTTAGTAGGGCTTTGAGGTGAGTTGGGTTTGGGAGCCACGTCCTTGCCTCCGGTTGAGGGTTCAGGGGTTTTTGGGGATTGCGGGTATCGAGGTTTTGGGATGTCGTGAGATGCCCGGCTACAAGCCCTCCTGCAAAAAACGCGCAAAACCCTAAACCCAAATCTCTAATCCTAAACCCTAAACCCCTGAACCCCCAAACCCCTGAACCCCTGAACCCCTGAACCCCTGAACCCCTGAACCCCTGAACCCCTGAACCCCTAAACACCTAAACCCCTAAACCCCGAAACCCCTAAACCCCTAAACCCCGAAACCCCTAAACCCCTAAACCCCTAAACCCCTAAACCCCTCAACCCCTAAACCCCTAAACCCCTAAACCCCTAAACCCCTCAACCCCTCAACCCCTCAACCCCTCAACCCCTCAACCCCTAAACCCCTAAACCCCTCAACCCCTAAACCCCTAAACCCCTAAACCCCTCAACCCCGAAACCACTAAACCCCGAAACCCCGAAACCCCGAAACCCCGAACCCCTACCCTCTAAAACCTAGGACCTAAACCCTAAACCCTAAACCCTAAACCCTAAACCCTAATTCAGGCCTGGCCTGAGCCGAGTGGTTCAGGGATCAGGGTTCGGGGGCTGAGGACGGAACAGGCTGTGGTCTGTAGCCCAAAAAGCCCTAACTTGCTATTTCACAGGGTTTAGGGTTTAGGGTTTAGGGTTTAGGGTTTAGGGTTTAGGGTTTAGGGTTTAGGGTTTAGGGTTTAGGGTTTAGGGTAACTTTAAACCCTGTTACCCTCTACAGGGGCCTTGCTAATAGGGTTATCATAGTATTATTAAAAGGGACCAAAAGGGAAAAATTAATGGTCATGATTCCGACCCCTATATTAACTCTCTAAGTCTAGCCCTCTAACCCTCTAACTTAAGCCCTCTAACCCTCTAGGAATAAAACTCTAAGCCCTAAACCCTCATGAAACCCCTAAGCCCGAATTTAAGGGGTGGGATTCGGATTTACTCTAAACCCTAGTTAAGCCCTCTACCCGAGTTGGCAGGGTCAATAGGGTTTAGGGTTTAGGGTTTGGGGTTTAGGGTTTAGGGTTAAAGGGAGGTGGGATTCGGATTGTCTTTTTCTTGGTCGGCCAGGCTTCCATCCAGGACCAACGAGCGCAAGCTGCGCAGCGTGGCAACCTGGCGGGCTCTCGGGGGGTTATGAAGTGGGTTGGCGAGGGTTTGGGGTTTAGGGCTTAAGGCTAAGAGTTTAGGGTTTAGGGTTTTAGGGTTTTCGGGTTTTAGGGTTTTCGGGTTTTAGGGTTTTGGGTTTTGAGTTGTGGGGTCTAAGTTGAGCCACCTGTAATGGACAGACTGGCGTTGACCAACCGTACACCCTGCGCAACCCAAACCCTAAACCCTAACCCCTAGACCCTAAACCCTAAACCCTACTTATTAGCCAACTATAACTGTACTTATAACTTATAACCTACTTATTAGCTACTTAAGTGCCCTAATATGGTTCTAAGTACAGCTAGAAGTACAGCTATGATTGGTTCATAAGTACCGTGAACCTCCAAGTACCTACTTCCCTGCCTCCAACTCCCTGGCCCCCGGACCCCCACTTCCCTAAACCCTAAACCCTAAACCCTAAACCCTAAACCCTAAACCCTAAACCCTAAACCCTAAACCCTTACGACAGGTGGACCGAGGCCCTGGCCAAATGCGAAGGGAGGCTCTCCAATTTGTTACCTGGGATTCGAGTCTGAAGGGCCTGGGGTAGGGTTTGGGGTTTAGGGTTGAGGGTGCTTTCACGTCGTGGAGCTTGGACACATCTCCGAAGGCGCACAGTGTGTGTGCGTGTGTGAGGGTTTAGGGTTTGGGGTTTTGGGCAAAAGGGTTTGGGGTTTAGGGTTTCGGGGACCTAAACCAACTTTCTACACCCTGAAGCCCAGTAACCATTTACAGTATGGGCACTCTTTTCGGGGGTTGGTTACTTTATAAGGGAACCCAGAACCAAAACAAAGGGGGAAAGGTTACCATTGTGCTACCAGGATAACTGGCTATTAGTACCACGAACCTAATCACGACATTAGGGAAACTGAGGGGTTGACAAATGGAATACAGGTAAAAAGCACCCCTGAACCCTAAACCTTAAACCCAAAAGTTGTACTGACTTTAGTGTAAGGAGGGTCTGTAATCACAAGTTTCCAAAACTGATTCTGCCAACCGAGTTTGTTTGATGTACCCGCTATTATCACATGTTTTTGTTTTTTCGGATGTCTTTTTTGTTTTAATGGTTTGTGTTTTGGGTTAAGGGCTTACGCAGTAAGGCTTGAGGCCCTGAGGGCCTTGGGCTCCAGGAATCTTAAAGGCTGGAAGCTTCAGGCCTTGAGGTCCTAAAGGCTTGAGGCCCTGAGGGCGGTTCCCTCGCCGTGCCACGCGTTTCTGGAAAGTCCAAATTTGGGGGGTGGGTTGGAGGGGCTTGGGCGGGGGGGGGGGGGGGGTTTGGTCGGGGGGGGGGGTTTGGGCGGGGGGGCCGGGGGAAGGGGGGGGGGGAGCCCATACTAAAGACAGCAACATTAAACCCTAAACCCTAAACCCCAAACCCTAAACCCAATCTGTAGTGAGCCCGTTCCCACATGGCGAGGGGCCGGAGAGGTCGAGCTCCTCGAGCGCTTCCAGCTGTGTCAAGTTGGGATCCACGGATGTGAGCTCATTTCCACCTGAGAGTTGGGGTTTAGGGTTTAGGGTTCAGGGTTTAGGGTTTAGGGTTTAGGGTTTAGGGTTTAGGGTTTAGGGTTGAGTGTAGTGGGGGTTGCGGGTGCCTATGTTAAGGTATCCGGGGGTCCAATGCCTAAAAGCCCCAAATGCCTGCACCCTATCCAGCCTGGGACCTAATATAGGGGCCTCAAGAATTAGTTTTTTTTTTTTTTTTTTTTGGGGGGGGGGGGGTTCGCATAAGATATTGATAATGGGACCACAAGGGAATACCATTAGGAGTCATTCCGACCCCTATATATTCTAAACCCAAGATGGGTTCCACAGACGAAGCAGACCCTCCTCAAACTGTAAACCCCCCCATGAAAGCCTACGCCCGCTCCACGCCCTGGACCTGAAAATCTGGACCCTTAGTCTTAAACCCTTAACTCTTATTATGGGTTCCCCTACTACCCCCCTCTATACTAACCCCCCCTAGGTTCCCCGCAGAATTAAGGTTAGTAAGCATAATTAAGTCTATTTAAGGGGGAACCCAGGGGGGGGGTAGTATTGAGGAGGGTAGTAGGGGAACCCATGATCTTAAATCTTACCTCAAAAACCCTCAACCTTTAATCGCACAACCCTCCACCTTCAAAATTTCTAGCCGGTCTTGAAAAGCGGGCTTACGCTGTTTAGGGTCCGGAGTGAAGATCTCCTTGTTGTACTTGCTGCTGTTGCTCCCTAAACCCTAAACCCTAAACCCTAAACCCTAAACCCTAAACCCTAAACCCTAGACCCTAGACCCT